AAGGCATTTCGTTTTTGTTTTGTGTGTGTGTGTGTGTGTGTGTGTGTGTGTGTGTGTGTGTGTGTGTGTGTGTGTGTGTGTGTGTGTGTATTTCTCCCTTTTGTATCTATTTTCCCTCGACACCGGTAATCTATGGGTTCTCTCGCGCATACTACCGGGATAACTGGGATGATTTTGCACTAGCTTTAAACAGTTGAATCTGTATGTATCATATGTATCACCGCGATAAGGGATTGGATAAACCTTCCACTTTAATATCATTATAGATTCAGTCGCCAGCGTAATGAAGAGTTTGAATATCTATGCAAATTTTAATGGAATCAAAGACTGCAGATAATTTCCAAAACAGTTCGCCGATTAAGTTCGAATTCATTTTCATCAACGGGTGAATTCAGTTACAAATATTTATATTTAAACACGCATATATACGCAGGTACACACTGCATTATACATATATTTTATACGAAAAATGTAGACGACACACATACATACATATACTATATATATATATATATATATATATATATATATATATATATATATATATATATATATATATATATATATATATATATATATATATATATACGTACTCGTATGTGTATATATATATATATATATATATATATATATATATATATATATATATATATATGTATATGTGTGTGTGTGTGTGTGTGTGTGTGTGTGTGTGTGTGTGTGTGTGTGTGTGTGTGTGTGTGTGTGTGTGTGTGTGTGTGTGTGTGTGTGTGTGTGTGTGTGTGTGTGTGTGTGTGTGTGTGTGCGTGTGTGTGTATTGTGTGTGTGTGTGTGTGTGTGTGTGTGTGTGTGTGTGTGTGTGTGTGTGTGTGTGTGTGTGTGTACAGGTACATACATACATATACATATGTTTAAAAATATAATAAATATATATATATATACATACATATATATATATATATATATATATATATATATATATATATATTATATATATATAATCAGAGAAAGGTTTAAGCCAACAAAGCAAAATCCTTGTCCGGGAAAAATAGACGGTTGCAAGGCCTATCTCTCCCCCCCCCCCTCGGTCGCTCCCGAAGGCCCCCTCGGAGCTCCCGGCGGACGAAACGTTACGGCGCCGCCATCAGGACGCCGAAGGGTTTCTTATCTACGTCGAAGTTGCGGGTAACGAGCGCCCGGCGGCCGTCGCTGCAGCCGATGACGTAACTGGGCTCGTCGGGCGGCCGTGCAAGTGCGGCGGTGCGGGGGCGGGGGAGTGATGTAATGGGAAGAAGGATAATGGGAGAAATGAGATTTGGAGAGACGGTGACGAATGGGGGAAATAACGTCAACTGAAGAAATTATAATAATGGCAGAAGCACTGATAATGGGATAGACGAGGACAGTGGGGGACTTGTCGTTATAGAGAGAGATGAAGCAAGCGGGACAAAGATCCAGATTCGTAACGTCACGCGTCCCTTGAGATTCAGGACAGTGGGCGAAGTCTGTAAAAAGCTCTCGCAAGGTAAGCGCTTTAGCCGTGAAACCTCCCCAAGGCGCTCGACCCGAACACCTGATCGCCTCCAAAATCCACGGACATCATTTGCCCAACTTCATGTATGGCCTGAAAGCTGTAGTATAAGGGACTACGATCAGTATAGAGATTGTAAGCCATCCTATGGGTGGCACCGAAGTAAAACCAGACAATGTGACGTGGTTATTGCCAGAATACGTTTAGGTTATAGAATGTACTGGCAACTGCAAGGTACAAGAAGTGCAGATGAATCTAGATGTAGACTGTCATGTAATACAGCTTTTCAGACCACCAAACATGAGGTATAAAGAACTATGTGATTATTTTATTGCATCTGATACATTGAGAGATATACGCATGCTATATCCTAATTTTATTATGTAAAACTATCATAATCATAGAACACACCACAGAACACTGTTATGTAAACACAAAGGCAAAGGTAGATCAACTTAGGTAATATACGTTTGCATGCTATATGACATATTCCCATTTTACAATGTATAATTACTGTAATCACAGAATACTGTACTCTGTCGAATGTATGTGAATATATATAACACTCTGTAAACACGATTGCCCACGATTGAGCAGTTAGCCAGGATGGTAAATAAACTTATTTAACTTAACTGTTGATATTACTCTTAGTAACATGCTCTTTTAAGTCTTCTGCCAGGCTCTCACAAAATCAGTGAGAGATGTCAATTCCTCACAACTTGCAATAATCTGAGAACGAAAGACATGCAGGTTTGGCATCTTGCAGAAAGAAAGACTAAGAACCGAAAACGAATGTAATCAATTCATGGGAGATTTTTTCACATAGCGAATGTTTACCTTTCGGAGTTCAATACATATAATACAGATAATCAGGTTTTGGGGCTTTTCCCACACAAGACATCTCATAACATAAGCAAGTAAGGCCCCACAAAGGCACTCCATCCTACTATGGATGTGTGTGTGTGCATGTGCGTGTATACATACATACAT